TATGATATGAACATTGGTGGCGCCTCCTTAGACATACACGGTATGATACAATCAGGCAGAATAATTTCCTCCGTTTAATTTTTATAGTGTTATATTGTGTAGGCCCCCCCTAGTGGTGGCGCCTCCTAGCGGAGGATACCAGGAGACGCTGGGCAGGTTGGGCAAGTAAGTTAATAAGTCAACTGTCGAGGTGTTTAAATGTAGACGAATTGAAGGTGATCAGCAGAATAAGTCCAGAAACCAAATTCCATCATGCAGATTTTGTCGTCGAATGGGAAATGGCGTATGTGGGCTCTTGTAAATGACCACATCAACCGGTAGCCAGGCAGTTCTTGTCGGCAGCGTTAAAATTAAAATGGAGATAAGTGCGCTGCATATGTTGCATCCTTGAGTTTAGTTTTGTGGGGAAACTTAAAAAATTATTGATTTTACTGATTTTCATAAAAGGATTTTTATGAAGTGAAGTCGAGTATGGAGTCAACACCACTAGCAGACCAAGATTGCCAGTATCTTATGCTTTCTCATGGAGCGTTAAGGTCGAGCACAGAAAACTTATCACCGTCTTGGACGAACTCACGCTTCACCATTATCGCCGAAAGCAAACTAAAATGATGACTGCGCTTATTTCTACAGCTTTTCTGTATACGTCAAATGATAGCCGGATGCCATTCTTAATTACACACAATGGACAATAGAAGTGTCACCCCTACTGAACCAATACTTTGGGGGAGATAAATGACTGGGGAATGATGTACTCCTGGTATTATTTTATTATCATCAAATTTCACAAAATGTAGACCGGGCAATATAACTACTCAAGATCTGCCTACTTTGATTATTGATTACTTGATTATGATTTGATTACTCTGATTCAGGGGGTGACACTTCTATTGTCCATTGTGTGTAGTTGACATTATATGGGTAAATCTTTGTGGTATTATGAAATTTTTATCACCCGATTCGTAATAGATTAGTAGTTATTAAAATACTTCTACTGCCAGCATCACGGCTAATAGCAATGACCAAATTTCCAAGGATTAAAGCAGGTGCTACAATCTTCATTTTCTCTTTAAGCATAATACACGCTGAGTAAAATATCAAATATTATCAATTTTAAACATGCAAGGACAGCATTTGCGTGTTGGTTCTATCAAAGTAGAATGAACTGAAGGGTGTTGCTGATATGCAGTTAATTTTAACACAGGTTGGGATAAGCGCGCAGTGCGTCAAACCAAAATATGTACGTTGTCCACATAGGTCTCAGACGTTGAAAACTGTCCAATAAAATGAAATTCTCCTCAAGATTATTCAAAAAGGGACAGTTAAATAATTATTTGAAATTCGAAACACAAATATGACGGCCCTGTTGACTAAAAAGGTATAATTTTGATGACAATGTTGAGGAACTTTCGTGTTTGGCGTGTGTAACACCAAAACCGTTAAGGCCACCCACTAGTTTTTATTGCCCCATGACGGTTAATTTGAAATTTATTGATACATGTACAACTTAAATGTTTGTGAATAATTTTTTCTGAAAAAATCAACAATTGCTTCACTCATCAAGCACTAATATTTTAAATATACATGTATGTAGCAGGTCTCGTCGATCAAAAATGCTTAATGACGGGGGGAAGGGGGCGGGGGTGTTAAGCAAGAGTCACAAAATATGGGCAAACCAAGTTAATTGCAAATGGGTTCCAGCAAAAGCAAAAGCACAAACCGCCTATTGCTATTTTGTTAAGCCCTGCAGTAGAACAGCAGGTGGTTTAATATTGGATTATTATTTCATGATCAATAACGATAAGCCAGAGGAGAAAAGGGCGTGAAGCATGGTGCAGTGGACTTCGTTTTCTCTTGCTACTTATTTCTTAATTTCAAAACAAAACAAAACTAAGCACATTTTCTCTCAAATACGATCTATCACTCCTACGGCTTCGAAAGTGTATATTTTTTAAAGCTCGCTATGTTTGCTAATTCTAAGCTTGTGCTTTGTGCTTATCAGACTTTAAAATGCACATTTTCTTGAATTTATTTCAAAATCTAAATAGCAGAAATACAAAAAAGGAAAGGGGCTGGTGCAAAATAGTTTCCTTGAGAACCGAGGTAGGCCTACATGTATTAAACTGCCTAAGACCCTGTGTGCAGATTCACTTAAATGCTTTTTGTATCTCTATAAGAGCAAGTACATCGAATTTTTGGACGAATTGCCAAATGTTTACCAATGCTTCAAAAACCAACGAATAACAAGGGTTTGAAAACGCCATGCGCTTCATTTTATTGATTCTAATTTTACTCAAGTGAAAATATAGTGAGTGTACTATATAATAATGAATGACTACAAGTAGTCGTCAATTATGAAATCATAATGAAAACAAACAAATAAACGTTACGACTTTAACATTTTTATCACTAATGTCCAAGAGATCTATTACCATTTATAGCGACATTCAGGTAAGAAATATGCACATCTCAACGGAAAAAATTATTCAGATATCCCTTACTGTATTCATTATTTTCGTAATCACTGTAAAAATCCAAAATCAATAACAGCGCCGTAAAAGTTTTCTCTTTGACAACCACGTTACAGTCTGCTCAAAAATACTAGTTCCATCCTTTTTATTTTTTTTTCGTTCCTAAACATTTCCAGTTGAGACATTCTTATCATCGAATATCGCCATGTTATGAAGTTAACGCTTCTTGCCTATGAAAAATATGCGGAACATTAAAAAACAATCCACATGTTCCGCCAATGGTCACTATGAAAAATAAATAAAGCAGCAAACGGTCCACCACCAAAGCAAAGTACTTCCAATCTTGAACTTCCTGAAATTATAGAAAGAAAAATCCTATTATGTGTAATCGACATGTAATACCGAAACCTAATGAAATTTTATTACGCACCGTGCATTCCTACATACTTACATGTATGTACTGTGTAGTATGCATGTCTAGGGCTAGGCGCACGGTTACAGAGTTGAGTTCTTCGCTATCGCTATCTCATAAGCCATAGATGATCAGAAAAAAAGGAAAAGAGAAAGGACACACAGAGAAGGGTGGAGATAATATAAAGAGAGAAGGAAGCAGATAAAAACTCACATTCTGGGTATCGTCGCTTTCCTTCAAGTGTCTAGCAATGAATGCAACGTCATTGGCTGCATCCATCAACCTTTTTGGTACATTTCGCTTACTGCTCTCACGGCCATCTTTCGGATTTTGATTGCTGGCCGTCTTGTATATTTGCTCTGCCTTTGTAGATTTTGGTGCTTTTAAGCTAGTGCCCGTGACTTCTGTTGATAATGAGGACTCTTTCAATGTTGCCATCCACCTTTCCTCGGATGTTAATTGTTTCTCTGCTGGACAGCCTCGTCTGTATTGGTTTTCGTGATTCGGTCGCTTAACAAGGAGCAGTCGTGGTAAGTAGTTCAGAAATACTACTCTCACCCACTTTGGCATACTGTGAGAATTTGGGGATCGAAAATGCCAGTTTATAGTCATTACAGCCAGAAGAACAGATACAATGTTCATGATGAAAGTAAACATGAGGAATTTGACTATTAGTGGGACCGATAACGATGTCGGAGGTAATAACTTTGAAATAAGTAAGATGAACACTACTAATGCGATAAGAATAGAAATGCTGAGGGCAACTTTCTCGCAGGCTTCACTTGGCAGGTAAAAAGTTGAAACGCTCAAAAAGGAAATCAATATACAAGGTATGATCAAATTAACAATGTAAAACAAAGTTTTTCTTCGAATCCGTATGTAATAAATAACTCGCGTCTCTGCAGGTTTGTCATCTTTGGCGGCTCGATACACAATGGCCCCCGGGCCTACTACAATATCCCAAGTACCACTAGGCATGTAGTCGGCCAGGTCTACTGTACTGTAATTCTTAAATGGTTTTTCTTGATAATACCAGTCGAAACCAACTTGTTCCCCAGTGTACGTCCAAGAGGCGAAATGCATTTCACATTCTTGCTCATCAAAAGGGAAATACTTGACATCGATTTCACATGAACTTTTGAAGATAGCTGGCGGGACGTGTAACATTGTTCCGTCTTCGTATACGACTACATTGGACCGGTAATCTGTTTGATATTTACCATCAGCACTAGAATTAATTAAAAGTAGTAAAATAAAACTCAACAAAAACAAAACTTAAAAACATAATAAACTAAATATAAAGTTGTATTTAAAGGATTGCAATATACCAATAGCTAGAAATCATAAGAGTAAGCAAATAATGACAACACAAACAGAAAGATTACAGTTTTAACAGATACAATTCTTACTAAAAACAAACCTACGTAAAATCCATGCATAAGATATTCGTTGAGTTAAAACATTGGAGTGCAGCTGGGAGATCAATGTGGCAACTGTGTGATAAATAACCTTGATAACATTCTACATGTACTTCTGTAAGGTGCTCTCACAGTGAAGTAACAGTGATTTGAAGAATAACAGTTTTGAAGAACGATGGCATTTTGCATCTTTATGTTATTTCCATAACAAAAATTTCTTAAGTTGTTTGGATAATAATGGGAAATATTTGTGTGTTGTTTGTATCTTGGCTTTTCTACTGGTATCTTGGCTTTTCTGCTGCTCGCCGCTTCTCCCGATGGCCTACAAGTCAGCTTCGACATGAATGTGCAAAGTTGACATGTTTAGAGCACACTGTGTATGTCCAGACTGAACGTCTTTTTAACAAAGATAAAATTGCGCAGAAATTCATATCATCATCAACTGATTTATTTTGCCAACATCAGCGACAAGGCGGGAAAGCAGGGACTGCAGCTTAAAATGCACACAGGAGAAACTGGTCGATGAATGATATAGGTTGAGCAGGTTGAAACAATGAAACGTGGTCAGTATAATCTAAATACAACTGGTCATGTACATCCAATGTGGTTATTCAAAAATAAAGAAATTTTAAAGATGTAATATCTATATGTAATAGAAACTGGTTGCTTTCAACTACAAAAAACAGATAATGAGTTGAATAAAAAAAAACGGCATAAGGATAAAGCATTCCCGTTTGCAAGCTTTTATTCTTGAATATGATTGATGTACATTAGGCGAAAAACTGACATCTCTTCAAACTGGCTCAATTGAGATGCGACTTTGATTTGCTTGCTATGGTCCTTGTCGCTGTTTTTATTAATAAAAGCATCCTAAATATTTCTAAATCATATTCATCTGGTGTTTCAATACATTTCTTTTTCTTTTAATCGACAAATCCGAATAAAATGTCTGTACGGGGTATTTTTCATATCTCCATTAAACATTTGTATGCCCCATACCAAAAAGCTTGTAAAATGGCTATTCCTTATTATGTAATACAAAATACAAGGAAATTAGAGCAAAAGCATTCGGTACTACTTCCTAAATAAATATCCATTGTTTGTAATTATCAATTCTATCAAAGCAGGGTTTTTAGATGAAGCAGCTGGTTAACTCCCCTTTCTTCTACACGTACACGTACAAGTATAGTTGCATCTACACAATGAATACGTTTTTTACAATCCATGAGGTGAAATATACAGTCTTCTTTTTTTGCCTAGTACTGAAGATTCTATCTAAATACTTCCTAAAAAGGGTAATCCTAGCAAATCACTGAGCCCAACCAAGTAAACGTCAGCTAGTCGGTGGTCACACTTACATCAACAAGGAAACAAACCATGACGATTTCTACAGAACTCCTGAAATCTCTATCTCTAAATGTACTATTTTCACAACCGTGCAACAATTAAATTATCAAACATAACGTGTATCACACGCTATGCATATGTTTGTACTATATTTTGGACCCGAAACATAGGCTACACAAGTCTTTTTAACAATATTTCAAATTGGATTTAACTACATGTATATGCAACGTTTAAATAGACAATAGTATGCTTAGGGGGGCTCCTTAACGGCTGTATATCAGCAACAAGGTCAATTTACTTCATTCAAATACCTCGACTAAACGATATACACAAACTGTTCCCCTATTAACAATATCCCCTTGGATAATACTGACAAATATTGCAATCACGTAGAATATCATGTACAGCAATTTCAAACATACAAATATCACCATCAAAGACCTTCATTTACGTTAACAATCACCGTAATTTCAATTTAAAGTAACATTAAGTTTTATATATATCCTACTATCTCCGGGCAGCCTTATGAAATAAAAAGCAGAAAACAGGAATAAGTGGTGACTCCCGGAAATGAGGCGGAGAAAGTGGGGGCATCTGGATTCAAACGCACCCCCACGCTCCCTACGTGGGTATTATTCAGATCGTAAAAAATACTATGACCGCTAAGTGAACTTTAAAAGCATTTTTACAAGCAAATAAGGACCTATATATACTACATTATTCAGCATCATTAAGCATTTTAGGACAAGTTGAGGTTTTTCCAACATAAATTTACTACGTTGACTTATTCTGTAAAGGAAAACCTCGGCACAATAAGAATTAAGATCCCATATCAACATTTTACAGGTAATGTAAAATATGTAATTAGAAAAAGCTAATTTTCAATGTCAATAGCTTATTTCAATGAGACTGAACCGTGTATAAGTTCGTGCATATTATAACTAAGTTACAACAGATGCTTAAAACAATTCACTTCTTTTGTCCCCCAAAAAAGGTATGTGCAGTGTAAATCTTGTACGCATTCAAGTGCTTCCATGTGTTGGCAGTTGTTGCAGTGTGAATACGTAAGTTTATTTCATGTATAGTTGAGTTTGGATTTTTTTCATGTAAGAAAACGCGCGCAGCTCATGCGCGTGTTGGTGTGTGTGCGCGCGTATGTGTGTGAGAGAGAAACGTTTGATTCATCCAGTTAAGGCCTCTTGGCGATGAAACAAGTGTGGAACATCAAAAAACATTCCCAATGTCCCGCCTGCGGTGACTATGAAAAACAAGTAGAGAACCAATCGGTCCACCACCAAGGCGAAGTATTTCCAATCTTGTACTTCCTGCAATAAAAAGAAAAAATTAAAATATACGGTAAAAGAAAAAATATAGCACAGAAACATTCTCCGCAAAGTGGCTTAGTATTTTTTTCTTGAGAGAGAGAGAGAGAGAGAGAGAGACTTACATTCTCATATTCATCACTTTCTTTCAAGTGTTTAGCAATGAAAGAGACAGAATCTGCCGATCTGTAGATTTCTGGCAAATAGCGGCGGGGGTTGTTTTCATCCTCCATTTCATTATGGCCGTTCGTCATGTAAGAGTGTACACATGTGCTCTGACCACCTGAAGTTTCTTTTGATTCTAAATCTCGCATATTTCTCTTCGAAGTCGCCGGGGTCATCATTTCTGAACCCTGTTCAACTCCCTTTCGTTTCTCCCAGCCTCGACGATACTGTCCTTCGTGATCTGGACGTTTGACAAGGAGAAGTCTTGGTAAGTAGTTTAAGAACACAACCCTGACCCATGTTGGCATCCTGTGCGAATTTGGAGATCTAAAATGCCAATTTATAGTCATAACAGCCAGGAGAACGGAAGTTATGTTCATTATAAATGTAAACATAAGAAATTTTACAAGAAGTGGGACTGATAACGATGTTGGGGGTAACATCTTTGACATCAGCAAAATGAACACAGTCAATGCGATCAAAATGGATATACTGAGCGTTATCTTCTCACATGCATCGCTCGGTAGGTAGAATGTCCCAACGCTCAAAAATGATATCAATACACATGGTATTATTAAGTTCACGATGTAAAAGAGAGTTTTTCGTCTTATTTTCAGGTAGTAAACCACTCGTTCTTGGGATGGTTTTCCGTTTCTACCTGGCTTATTAATTATAGCCCCCGGTCCTACAACGATGTCCCATGTGCCACTTGGCATATATTCCGCCAAATCAACAGTACTGTAATCTTTGTCATCGTTCTTATACCATACAAACGTGAGTTGGTCGCCAGAGTATGTCCATGAAGCAAAATGCATTTCACATTCTTGCTCATCAAAAGGGAAATACTTGACATCGATTTCACATGAGCTTTTGAAAATAGCTGGAGGCACGCGCAACATTGTTCCGTCGTTATACATGACTACATTAGAGCGGTAATCTGCTTGATATTTCCCGTCGGCGCTAAAATAAAATATGAACAACATGTAGAGGTCAAACAGATAAAAGCATGTGCAATTAATCAATCAATCAATTAATAATCAATTGAAAAATATTGCGATAAGTTCTAATATAAGCTTACGGTAAAACAAAATCCAATGGTTTTCTTATATTATCATGTCATACCTATATGCTTATCAAAACAGTTGCTACTTACATATACAATCTGTTCAAGAATGACTATCCGATAAGGCAGAAATAACACTCTCGCACACGATGTTTGTCGTTGCATTCTTTTCAAGCGAAGTGCAGCAGATGAGAAAAAATAGTATGGAAAGAAGACCCGTGACTGGAAGTCAATCGCAGACTATAGTTCAGTGCTATTAGAAAAAAATCTACGTCAGAAGCTAAGCATACTACAGTAGTATATAATCTTTCACTATAGTTTCCATCCAGGCCAAGGCATTGCAGTGCGAAGTCTCGGGCCTGTTCCATCACACAAACTGAAATCACAGACGTCGGCTTTTGTATTATCGCTATCACTCAGTGTACTCTCAACAAAACCATGCGTCCTAGTCAACTGCACAGATTGGACGACTAATTTCCATAGTTAAGTGTATGGTCTAATAGTGTTATCAAGCCAGCAAAGCTGTCACAAGTCACGTTACTTACGATTTAGTTACATGAAAGAGCTAAGACATATGCTTTATGTATATATTTATATACATATATATATATATATATTAGTGCTTCTCCAATACAGTTCTATCTGGGGTTGTCAAAGTGCCATGACTCAAAATATAAGCATGATGCAGATATTATAGCCGAGAATATGTAGATATACTTAGTCATCCATATTAAAGCCACATTTACCTTTGTTTATAAAAGCATGTTTGATTTATTAATTAGCACATGTCATTACGAGAGGGAGTGTGTGGGAAAGAGATAGAGAGAGTGAGAGAGAGAGAGGGAGAGTTTTACCATACCCGTGTATGGGTGGATACCAAACACATGTATAATACTGAGAAGCACGCATGATTCCTATAAAAATAACACGGTAAAACAGGTATCTTATTTTCGGCAATTTGAAGATATCGAATTCACATTTCCGATAATTGGTGCAAAATGGAAATGTTTTAAAGAAAATTTTCCAATTGTTAAAGGAGAATATCATATAATGAAACAAAAAAACTTTATTTCACATCAATGATTTTAATATACGTATTACTGGTATGTAAAATACTATACGGCGTAACTGCATCTATGCCATACTGCTGTTCATATACATGACAAAGTTGGAAAGGGACTTTGGCAATGGTATCCAAGTATGTATAAACAAAACACGCCATGCTTGTAATTAATTTGTAACAAATCTGTTTTAGAATGTATCTCTAATATGCTAACATATTCTTGTATTATCTAATACAAATTGATCTATACACCCCTACCCAAAAAAGTTTTAACCCTACCGCAATAATGCACCTTGCTACAAGGGTATCAATAGTTATAATTTTAGTATTACATAACAACTAGGCATCCGATCATCGTGTAAATTGCAGATGTGAGTAGTAGAACATTGACCTACCTAGTGTCACCATTAACATACTCCAAAACCAATTATTTTTAATATGTAGCTCCTAAGTGGGATACATTTTTTACCAAGTGGTTGACATAGCAGTCAGTTTTGACCCTCCGAATTGCCAGAAGGTTGGATTGTTCCGTAAGGACCATTCAGAGGGATAGACAACATCATAACGAAACAGGCACATGGCAAAATTACTGGGTAAGGCCGACCGAAGGAAGTGTACCCAAAGAAAAGAAAAATGTCAATACGCCCTCTTCGTAGAAAACGTTTCATGACATTTAGGAACGTGACTGCAATATTTAACAAGAACAAGGCAAACAAAGTTTCTGAGCTTCCGTCAGAAGACGTCTGTAAAGCCTCTCTTCTGGTCCTCAAATCAAGTTCGGTCCCTTGGTTCTAAACTGTTTACCAGAGGCTCTGCTCTTGTCCTACACCTGTAAATGTCCATCACGACGTGTTCAAACGTGTTCCCCAAACGTGTACTTGGCTGACTCTCTTTTGGACCCCAAACTTTTTCTGCGGTATAGTCTTCATTTGGAAACCTGCCAGTTTGACGTTTTGTAATAAATAATCATTTTTCTTTTCATATGAAAGATGAGAGCGTAAATTAACTTATCACAACCGCTCACGTTTTGCATAACGTTTTTATTAATGTTTCATATTACTTTTAATAACTGCTGACTGCTTTCCCAGTTAGAGGGTACAATGGCATAAACCAGTGAAAGTAATGGAACGTGTCATATATTTATTCCGATATTAATCTAAATATATGTGGCTCACATTTTCACTTTTTGTTGAAAGTTTTCTCACATCGAACTCAATTAATTGGGTTGGAGTGTCTACATCTGTAGCGGTGTTTTAAAGGGTCATAAATGGACCAATTTTGAGATAGCGTTATGCGAGACTTAGGTAACTTTTATATAAACGGAAAATAATATACTGTAGATTGATTCACAACTCTGCCTCCTGTCGAATACAAGCCCTTTACAGACCAACCAAAATTAAATGCCCGTGTCTGGTGCGGGTGCTCTATTTTCGTGGTTTTCTTACATAATTGCGCGGTGCTTCGTTAATCTGGCAACAAATGTTCGCTACAGATGAGATGCAAATAAAACGGTATAATGATCGACGCGAAAATGCCTTTAATCTGTTTTGATGCTTTCCATGTACGCATATGTACTATAATGTATAGGATTCGAAATTATCAACATCGGATTATTTAAAATAACCATCCAAAGATCATGTACATTACGGCGCACAATTCCTTTGATTTGTGGTTTTTAATGAACTTAAATAAAGATGCTGCGATAAAGACCATTCAACTTAATAAGACNGAATCAGCTGGTATACCGGAACTCTGGCATGGACAGCAGCCAATAACTAGGCTTTGAAATTGTTATCAGTAGCAAGCAAGCTCAGTGTTGTCAGAATTTATGGACGTGAAAGGGTTTGGAGAACAGCTGGTAAGACTTATATTCCCAATTTCTGCCTTCGGTCGACAGGACTCGCCCAACCCAAGTTATGCATGCGGCGTATCGCCTACCATGGTGTAGGCGAGCTGGCAGTGGGAACCTTAACACAAACCCCTGCATCCAAGTACTGGAAAGGAAACTTAAGGAATTCTGTCGAGAATATCTTTGGGGAAAATTATCCCCCGTTTATGTCTTATCATGGTAATGCTACTCCATGTACAGCCAATGCAACAGTAGGCTGGTTATGTGCGTACCAAATTTAGACCCCCCAATGGTCAGCTCATTCCCTGGATCAAAACCTCGTTAAGAATGTGTTAGGATATCCTCAGAAATGTATAAATGAGGGATAATTTTGCAAACAAAAATGATCTGATATCTTTGCACCTTATGTGGAGCGCCATCACTGCGAAACATGACAGAACTTTTTGACCCCACGCACAGACGCGACAGGTGCGTCCTCCAATCCAGAGGATACTTTACAAAATACTAAAATGTGGCTTTGGTTTTCTTTAATATGCTTAGTTTATTCATTGGTGGTACAATCAGTAAATTTTTGTGAAAAAATTCTATTTAGAAGTTGAATAGAGAATATATGTTCATGGCATGACTTTCTGTATCACTTTACGCATTGTGTTAGGGGTGACACTTTTTTTCTTAGTAGGGGAGTATATATCTCAATATACACTGTATACATACAATAACGACGTTCTCTGCATTCCACGTGATTTAGAATAAAATTCTCGAAGAGAGTATTACATCCCGTTTGATATTTCACACTATACAACTAAATTAATTTCCCCCCGAGAAATCGGAAGTATAATTTTAATCGTTATGGCTGTTGATAACGGAGATTTCCTTTTTATAAATTAAGCAATTTGCGAATCCACTAATTTTAACTCTCTCTCTCTCTCTCTCTCTCTCTCTCTCTCTCTCTCTCTCTTTTCACCGTTTATTTACCTCCCAGCAATTGGGCGCAACACCTGCGAAGCACTTAAAACAAAAACGGCTTCGAGGGATAACCCCACATTTGAAATGGTGAGCTGGAAGTCATCCGGGTCACCACAACCTCCTACATGTCACGCCATTTACGCGCTCTGCCAAGACATAATCTTGGGTTCTAAACTTGAACCACCAAAGGTGTCTCCTGCGAAATAATAATCATAACGTCCTCACAATCGATACCAACGTGGTATTCATAAGTCTATGCGCATGCGTGTACAGCTCTGTAAAATATACAACGAACTCTTCAAAACGAGGCATTTCACTTAGAATCACTTCCTATGTCAAATATCGTTTTGGCATTGAAGAAAATCCCCACTGTTCCACCGATGTTAACAAGCAAAAAGATATAGAGTAGTAGCCGATCAATCACCATGGCAACGTATTTCCAGTCTTTGAGAACCTGCAAAATCAATAGAAAACATAGATTAGCTGTCAAATAAACCTGATAAACCTTGGTGTATGTCCCAGCGGCCAGTGGTATTCTGAGAAAATATCCTCTGTTCGGACCAACCAGGTCAAACCAATATGATATAGGATGATCTAAGGTGGGTCTTGATCATGCCTCAAGTGATCAAGTTTCGACAATATTTATCAAATTCAAATTTAAGAATAAACATATTGCGTCACCTTATTAAATTCGTGTTTTTTGGATGCATTATGTGAGATTGATGTATGACCATAACGATCACTTGATTAGTTATACACCTATACGGCACGATATTGTAATAAAAGACTTCCAATCTTGAAATAAACTTATACTGGTCACGCCTTAGATTACCATTTTGGCATATAGAAAAATGGTTTTAAAAATCAATATTTAAGATGGTTTCAACACAATTTTTGTAACTAGTATTACGTCTGCTACATGCAGTAGGCCTGTATGATAAAAAAAGAACATCTTGGATGCAGGCCTTTAATTTGATCGTGTGCGTGTGTGTGTGAATATATATATATGTGTGTGTATG